GATATGAGGAAATTGAAGAATTGTTCATTACATTAGATATATAATCAGTAGCAATGTGAGTAGGCGAGTGACAAAATCATATATCATGTGTGAGGGTCCAGATTTGAGATCTCCATTTCTTTATTTTATAAATCTATTAGCAATGTTCTTTATTAGTTTTTATTTCTTTCGCCCATTATATCTGTTGTTTAAAATTCTAGTGCCACATTATTCCCTATTGTTAACAATTTTAGGCAAGTTTTTTCTATGCTTATTGTTTTCCCCATTAATTCTCGATTATGTTAGCCCCTTCAAGACCCTCATGTGTTCTATCACCTTACAATTTCCATCATTTCCTTCTAGACCCTCATGTGTTCTATCACCTTACAATTTCCATCATTTCCTTCCAGACCCTCATGTGTTCTATCACCTTACAATTTCATAATTTCCTTCCAGACCCTCACGTGTTCTATCACCTTACAATTTCCATCATTTCCTTCTAGAACCTCATGTGTTCTATCACCTTACAATTTTCATCATTTCCTTCCAGACCCTCACGTGTTCTATCACCTTACAATTTCAATCATTTCCTACGAAATAAAATCGATTAATACAGATTATTAAATAGCTAATGTCATATCTATGAATTAATGACAATGTGTTTGTTCACTTTCCAGTCCATCATGTTCTGTAGGAAGATATGGGTCTCATTTGCAGACATAATGAATTCGCTCGTTTCAAACACTTTTTGTGATTAAGATTTGTTTTGCAAGGTCTGTTTGAAGCATCACATTGCCTTATCAACTGAAAATTAAAGTAAATGTCGCGTCTGTCGATGTATTTACTTAACTAAATGAACAAGATTCCCAATGGAGAGCATTGCAAATACAAGATCATACAAACGTCAAATGTAATAATCATTTATATGAAATGTATCTGTCAAGACTTGTAGATTATAAGACATTTCAAAAATATTATTTGTTGTCGTCAACACAAGTCTGATTAGAAATATAGACTACCGACGAGCTATTTGTTTGATTGGTCTAGAACATAGTAAAAATCCTTACGATTAGACGTCTTGCCACTACAATGATTGCACCACATTTTTTATGTTATTCCGTCATAGACTTTTTTACAGTCATTCCTTAAACGTATTAAACTTTATTTAACCTATCTTATTTTCAGTCCCTTTAGAACCTGTCTAGCTAACTATCATAACATTTACATAGAATAGAATGCAAAATCTGTGTAGATCGTCGCTAATTCACCAATTCGACTAGATAGTTGTAAATATTTATACCTTTACTGTCCGTGAAAAACAAATATAAAAATACCCAAGCAAAGGTAGAATGGTCTCTGGTTGTTGTATTCGTGCTTTCCGAAGAAAATTTATATTTGTTTTGAAAAATATTTTCACATGTAAAGTCTGCTTTGTTTGTTTTTGTTTTGTTTCGTTATTTTTATGATTACATTCCAACTCCTTTGTTCTAACAGGGGTGATCTGAGTCGGATCAACCCTACAAGATCATCATACCTTGAGTTTCTTTGTTCTGCATGCTTTCTTTTGTTCTGTAACATTTTGGCGGGAATGTCGAACACACAACAAAACTTAGAAATATTTAAGCGGAATAAAGACTAACTTTCAAAATTATGTAGAAAAAATCCACTTAATTTCCAGTGTCTAAGCGGGGAATCGAACTCAAGACCTTGAGCATATGAAGCCACGATTTATACCCCTACACCAGGACGACTGGATACAAACTCACTGTCAATGAGCAACACAAACTTGCATTATTTCAAATGAGGTTCCGGTTATATATACATGTACTCCAAAAACAAAAAAACAAGTGGATTTTGGTTTTGTCGATAAGGATCCTATTAATATATTATTATGAAGTAAATAATTCTACATTGGCGTCATGATTAATGAGAAGTGACGTGAAACATTTGTTTTTTAATGAATCATGCAGAATCCAACAGGGGTATATATCCCCAATTTGTTACGATATTGTGTTCCCTATCATGATATTCTGGAAAGAAAGTTACTTCGTTAAAGGAAGCTATTGAAACATGGGTTCAAAATATTTATGTTGAAGTCCTTCGAACACCAAAATACAGTCCTCTTTTCCTTTATTGTAACATCCCAGTGCCGCTGGTGGAGAATGATCTGTTAACTCTTTCAAAGTACATGATTTTACCCACAGTTTTTTTCCTTCTGGTATTCATGTTACACGGTCAATAATTAGAAATGTTGTGTTTTGTAGACGTTTGATATCCGTGCTTTTTTGTGCATTCTGCTTCATTTAATTTTTATTGAATAGCAAAAAAAAAAAGATACCAAACGGACATCTATAATTCCAACAAAATACCAAAAATACGAAAAACAAACAAAACGTCGAAGAAGTCAACAAAAACTCAAAAACCTCATTAAAGATACCATGCTTACAATTTGGTACACCAGATGCGCGTTTCGTCTCCATGAGACTAATCAGTTGGCTCAAATCAAACATCAAAAAGTTAGAAAGCATTAATAACCGAAAATTGCTAACATTTGTACAAAGTACCTCGGTGTAAAAAGACCAACAGCAGTAAACAAAACACAACTAGACTGAACAACATGATTCCTCCAAAAACTGGGGGCGATCCAGAGTGCTCCGGAAGGGTAAGCAGATCTTTATTCACATGTGCCACCCGTCGTGTTGCACATGTAAGTAGAAACCCGATGATAAATCTAATTCGGTAGGTCACATTCAAGGACAGCAGGACGGGATGTGGTTACGACAATTGGAACATATTTGTCGTCATTTGTTAAACAGATATTCCATAATGATAAACCAACTCATGATGATGTTGAAATTCTTGGTTTAAGAGCTACCTTGTGGGCAGCAACCCTTTATAAAGGAAATTATGATAGGAAATGCAAGCTCAGGCACATCGTATCGACTGGGATATATGAAGGCGCTCGTGGAATGTTGCTACAGCTACATAGAAATAGAGAGTTTACATTTGGGAAGCTGAAATCATCATCATTATCGTGAAGTTTTGTTCTCAACCGATCCTCCTTGTCAATTTGAGATTTTGTCAAGATATGTGGAAGACGTAACTGTATATGTTGTTTCTTTTATTTCAAGGTCAATATATATAGATGCGTTCAACATCGTCGCGAAACTTTGACTAATTCAGTGAGAAAACATTATCTATATAACGGAAAGCGAAGTTAAAGCATTATGCTAGCTTCATTTCATTCTTCCAAAGAAACTCTTGTATGAAGTTAGCCTCAAATGAATAAAAGAACAAGTCGAAGAGGAGCACGTTTGTTTTATGGGAATACCGATTGTTTGTTGAAAAACACGTTCTCCAAACGCAACAAAAATGTTGTCAATCAGGAAATCAAGCATCTTAATAATGTTAGTTTGAGAATTTTTGTTTTGAATCAGAATGATGTTTTTACAAAATACGGTTCATCCCTCCCTTAGACAAGATATTTGTATCATGCGTTGCTCATTCTGTTTTGTGAAACAAAGCAGTACCAATTATTTCAATTTGTCGTTTAGTTTGGAATGTGGACTTGTGTAAAGGGTAGAAAAGTCAAATGTTTTAATACAATTACAAGATGAAAGAGTCTTAACCCTAACCCTAACCCTAACCCTAACCCTGACCCTGACCCTGACCCTGACCCTAACCCTGACCCTGACCCTAACCCTAACCCTAACCCTAACCCTTATAGACTAACTATGTAGTATAACAGATCTTAGGATTATTTTTAGTATCCACATCTGATTTATGCCGCCCCAAAAATAGGCAGTTTCACAATAACTTTGAAGCCCGGCTTTGACTGCCTTTACAATTGATGTTAATAATTTGAAACTATAATAGTCTTCTGTTACCTTATCTAACATCGGACTCGGACTTTTTTTAAACTGAGTTTTACATTGCGTATTGTTGTGTGTTTTTTTTTTTTTTTATTCCACATTGGCTAGTGGTATAGGGGGAGGGTTTAACCCTGCCGCATTTTTGCGCCTGTCCCAAGTCAGGAACCTCTGGCCTTTGTTAGTCTTGTATGTTTTTTTTTCAATTTTAGTTCATTTATATGTTTCGGAGTTTAGCGTGACGTCCATTTTTGCCTAACTAGTATACATTTTTAAGGGACCAGCTGAAGTCTGCCTCCGGGTTCGGGATTTTCTCGCTGTGTTGTAGACCCATTGGTGGCCTTCGGTTGTTTTTTGCTCTTTGTCGGGTTGTTGTCTCTTTGACACATTCCCCGTTTACATTCTCAATTTTATATCATAAGGAGGCTTGGTGTGTTCGGGAAAGTATTTAGCTTACTGATTTTCTATCAGAAATACCTGTGTCAAGTAAAATGTATGATAGTCAGCTGTTCTGTGATTTCTTATAAATTTTGTTCTTGCTTCTTTTTCTGGGATGAACAAGATCCACCATACTTTGAAAGTACATGCAGGATTTGGTTTTAATATCAAATTTCTATACAACATACAGTAGGTGTCCACCATATACAGGTTTATGATGATTTTGAGACGAAGAACAGCAATAAAACCGCTGTTCCGTTGCCTTTGGTTATTTTATGTGTGCGTATTGATTTTGTGTCATGAATTGATACACTATATCCTTCCTTTTCCATCTAAATACTGTGTTTATAATTATGATTGCAGTCAATAAATTGTCTTAAAATATTGCGCAATCTCATTTCCTAAAGAGAAATTATGCCTGTGTTTATGACAGGTAATAACTTGTCCATGGTCTTTATAGGAGTTTGATACAGAATCCAGAAAATAAAAGAAGAATCAAATACTAACGGAACAATAGCAGAAGACAATGCTCACTTTGTCGGTACATGTGGCCTTGCGCCCTTCATTATTAATGTAATACGCGCTGTATCCATTTCTATATAAAGATAAAGAGATGCGGTGTGTTTGATCATTCAAGGATCGAAGAGGTCAGAGGTGTTTTCGGATTATCAAATCGATATTTGATCGTACTTTATGCAAAACAAAACAGGGGCATTCAGTGGGATTCAAAATGTATTTAATAACTTTTCTTTTTAAAAATCTACGTAAATTATTCAACATTAAACAAATACAATATACAAATAACAAATGTTTTGGAAAAGAAAAGCTGAGACAGTAACTGGACATTTAAGGCCTCCTTGACCAAATACTACAAAACTTATTGGCATTATTCTTCAGTAGGCACTCAAACCACCTGGTTTCCGTAACATACTTCTATATATCAAATAACCAGTTCAATGTCAAGCGTATTCTAATGCTGATTAATTGATTAACTGTTTTCGCGTTTATCCCAAGTGTTTTGTTAGAGCAATGCTGATTGGCGAGTGACATTTAACGACTCTCCCTTTGGGTAATCACACTGCGTTAAGAACAGTTCCGATTGGTTAAATTCAATTATGAATGCTAATGGCATTGATTCTCTTGGGTATTTTGATCTGTTGATTTTCAAACAACGTGATTAATATGGTTTTGGTGTTCATTGTTATTGCTATGTGAATCGAGTTTGGCTAAGCGATCAGTTAAAGTATATCCAATACTTTCATTTGAATGTGGAAAATGACACGTACAAAACAAATGTACAAATGTTTCACGGAATTTTGTACTCATAGTACAGTACAATATAAAATTGACGGCATTATTTATTAAAGCCACAATGTCCATGACATCACCCAACGGTAAATAAACGGTATCAAAAAAATCTTTGACGGTCGCACTACATACAATAAGAACTCCCTGTGGCAGCTCAGTTATTAAAAACAATAGAATCACAGACACTAACATTTTTGTCGTTCTTGAATGCTCAGTCAGTCTCATACTATTTGCACCGGAAATTTTAAGTACTTTTCTTCGATGTCGTATTTTAACATGAATATTGTATATCAATAATGATCCAAAAATAGACATAAGTAAACATGGCACTAACTTTGCTGTAACGGCATACATCCAAACATTTACAAGAACAAGAGCATCAGTGTCATTTTTTCCAAGTCTCAAATCTCGTAACACATACGTTGTCTCGTTGGATTCTGGATTTAAGTTTTCTTGTAGTTCATTGCTCATATAATTTGGAATGAGACTAATTGCTGACCAGACGTAGATGAGTAAAATTAGGACTTTTGATTGCGTCATGCGGCGACGCCTCGTTGCAAATGCTTTTGTAGGTGAGCGAATGTGGATAAAGCGGACAATCGCTAGTAATACACAGAGCCATATGGATACTGTATGTGTGGTAGCGGCTAAGTTGATATGAAAGGTCATGTAAGTCATCCAAGATTTACTATTTTTATCAGGTGTTTTGTTCACATCCGGGTACATACAATAGAAATGCATGGAGAAGGGTACATATGACATCATGGTGATAATATCCGAAACGGCAAGCCACGAGAGAATAATATTTACAGGTGTACTCATGTGCCGTCTAGTCAGTACAATAATATTGAAAATGTTAGTGATAATTCCAAATACACAAACACATATACTTATGTAACCATGGAATGAAGCGTAGGATTTGGCAAACGTGAATAAATGGTCGCCCGTCACGCTCTGATTGGCCGCCATGCCACAATAGGTATTGGCGGAGGAAAACCTGTAAAATAAAAAAGTAAAATTTAGAATATATGATTTCCTTTCTGGTCTTCACTCATTTTTACAAGAGAGCGATTATACATTAAGAAGTAAAACCTACTTCACTTGAGACTATTTATACAGCAAAGGTAATGGTAATTGTATGTCTAGTGTTTTTGGACTGATGCTTGTCTTTTGTATTGTGTTGTTGGTTTTGTCTTCATCTTATTATTTCTTCTTCCTCTGGTATCTTTTGCTTTTAGATATAATTGAGTGTAATACTTTCTGCGATACGATGTAAAATAAAAAGAAATATCAACTGATGTTCTTTTTGTTATGCCCAAATGAGACTCCGCCATCGATAATAATGGATTGTAAAAGTTACAGGTTTGCTTTTTTTTAAGACTGGTTAGTTTTGAAAAGATGATTGCGATAGATAGATTGACGAATATTCACGATGGCCTTTTTACAGTCATAACTTTTTGGCCGTTGGTTTGTTTGTTTGAATTGTTTAAGATGTTGTCATGTCGGGCATTGTATAGCTTACTATACGGTCAGGACGGTTTGATTGATTTGTTAAATGGTTGGTGCTTAACGCCACTTTTGGCACTATTGGCTATTTCGTAGCGATCCGTTTTTATTGGTGGAGGAAGCCAGAGTACCCGGAGAGAACCACGGTAGGAAAACTGATAATCCTTGAAGATTGAAGGGGTTCGAACTCATAACCTCAGTGTTGACAGGCTAGTGATACAGTATTTGGACTACTTAGACTACTCGGTCACTGGAGTCCCTCACGACGGTATGAGTTTTTCTCATATTGTTGAAAATTAGTTAAGCGACTTATAGTAACTGTTGCTTAATTCTACGTCATTTGCTCTGTGGATGATATTTACAGAAGGTTGCTGTTATTTTGTTGAGGGAAATATCATTTGTACAATAAACCAGTTCACTATATAATGCGAACTTTCACTACTTGTATACTCGTCATAATAGATAGTTCACATTCTTCATAACCAGATTATAAACAAGTGATAAAACCTCAGTAAAGATATTAAACCAGGTTAAATTGGATTTAATGGTAATTGTAAATGTCAAAGTCGCCCAAGTTTGAGGATTACAGTTTTAAAACACCTCGTGAACAAGAACATTATAGTCTTTTTTTTATAAATAATGATACAGCAAACCAACGACAAAAAATACCTATAAACAATTAGCAATTAGCGTGAAAGAGAGGCGAAAGATACCAAAGGGACATTCAAAATCATAAAGTCGAAAATTAATTGACAAAAGAAAATGACCAACAGACAAACAAACAAACAACAGTACACAAAACACAACATAGAAAACTAAAGACTGAGCAACACGAACCCCACCAAAAACTTGGTGTGATCACACAGTCTTCGGCACTATTATATAATTTTTAAACGTCATGTTAGCCTCTAAATATTTTCGAGTTTATACAAGTTGTAAATAAATTAAACAGAAACAATCAAAGATTGAGCGGAAACCCCAAATTATCCAATAGCTAAAAAGCATTTTTATGTAATAAGACATCTACTGACAAAGTTGCTGAATTCAGTCAGACACATGGATGCGAGAGTTGCAAAGACTTTGTTTTACATTTTAATCTTCTGCCATTTGAATATCGATCATTGGAAAACACGTACATTAAAGACGAACAGTAAAATTCAGTTCCGAAAATGCACTACTTGAGTCACGATATAAAAGATAACAAAACGCACAAAATCATTATGCAAGTTTCTAAATTCTCAACCTCCCCCTTTTTAATATCGATCAAAAGATCGCCAAAACGTACATAAAATAACATATAGTTAAATGAATTACAGGAAAAGCACTTTACTCTTACCTACTTACACGGTTTCATTTACTGATATATTTCCTACGTAGTAGCGTATTCTATCTAATATACATTTCCGTGTACCATCGTTTTCCACCTAATATATATTTCCGATATTTCAAAAAAAAAAGAAGAAAAAAAACCATTCGAATTACATAATGCTTCTTTATAATCTGTACGTGCTTTATTTCATGTTTGGCTCTTCAGACAGAAATTATATTTGCGGCTGGCCAGATATGTTTTGCCACTTAAAAGTACAATTGGCTTGATGTGTGCATGGTGGCGCTATCTTACCAAAAGGCGTGCAGAAATATGAATACTGTCTTATTCGGTCTGTACAATTTCCTTTAATTTACCAAGACCGTAAAAATTTTCTAAAACAGTGAATTCTTACCTTGCAAGTTTGCATGTCATATTTACATATCACAAAACTATCTTGTGAAACAATTTGTATATTTACATAAATTATGTACAAATAAAACAATAGAGATCGTGTTATATTTATAGATAGTATCTTTGACCTGAAGACTTCATGTAGTATACACTTCAGTTATTTGTCTGCTATAAATGTCTCTCCTAAATCTTCACGTTCGTTTTTATTCTATTTTGGGGGGTTGAATACAATATTTAGGTCAATTTATTATCGAATGTGAATGACCACACTCCTTTCAATGACGAAAGGGAGAAATTACAAGCTACAAGCTTCTACAAGTTTGCAAATGACAGTTCTAATAAGAGAAATATTGAAGACGCAATAATAACATTATTTTAAAATAGGTTGAGGTCAATCAGTTGTTTTCTCCTTTCCATTTTCTACATAAGGAAATGCCTTTACCAAGTTAGGAATATGACAGTTGTTTTCCATTTTCTACATAAGAAAATGCCTGTACCAAGTCATGGATTATGACAGTTGTTTTCCATTCGTTTGATGTGTTTGAGCTTTTGATTTTGCTTGGAGTTTGGCATTTTTGTTATTTTACTTTTTACAAGGTTAATAAAAATTACATACAAGACGAGTTTGTCAGTTTATTGTTTGATGACGTCGTCATCCTATAGTTACTTATGTCATGGTGTAAATTTCTGCGACTTTATTTCATAATTTTTCAATACTGTTTTATGTTGTTACAAACTTTCTCAAATCCATATGTCGTATTCTGCTTGAAGTTCAATTAGTAAATTAGAACTTAAAGAGTCAATGTCATTTTGAGATAACGGATTAAGCTTACTTAGTACTTGTGAATAGACCAAATTTGTCAAATTTATATTAATTAGTGTCATTTTATATTCGAGCAATTTAATATTTGTTATAAAAAGAGACATTAAGAAAATATAGTCAGTGAGGATTACCGAACGTTAGAATACGGACCCCGTATTGCTACAATTAAGGACTTTCCAGCGGACTGTGCCTTTGTTATTGTTTTATGGACTTCCATATGTAACTTTGTTTTATGTAATTATCTTGATTTAGTTTGGATTCAACAATAGAACATTGAAAGTACAACCTGTGTATTTATAATTTATTTAAATCTACCGCTAGTTCCCCCGTGTTGTAAAATTATAATACGTCACTTAAACCATTTGTTAATAGATAAAGGTATTGTTATGTCAATACTTCGTGAGAAAACGAGACATTTGCTTTGGAATATTGTTTTTTTATAAATGATTTGTATAAGTTATTTGACGCGTTTTAACTGGCATTGTCAGCTTGTCGTCGACTTATGCGTTTGATTTCCCCTTTGATACCTTCCGCCCCTCGCATTATCATTGGCGCACTGAGTTTCTGGAATTTAAATAAAAACAATAACGGTCTACAATTCGTACTTTGACATTTAATGGCATCATCGGTTATTGTGCTGATGCTATGGGACGTCAGTACGCTGCCCACATACAAAATATGCAAATAAGCGACGCGCACTAGAGAAATTTGAAAAAAATATCATATCTTGTGCATATGGTTTTATGACGCAGTAGATGCCTCATATAGTCAACATTTTTTTTTGTTATTCATCCAGATTGCGATATCAAAATAACACCACGTTGTTTATTAGAAACTATTGATTATTCATAAAAATCAGTATAATCTTACTTAATTGTGTCGTAAAACGTTAATAATTACACACTTGGATATAACTGACAAATTTCCTGTTAATTGAATGTCTCATTCAGGGTGAAGGTGAATGGAGACAAAACATGTACTTAACGAACGGAGACAAAACACGTACTTAACGAACGGAGACAAAAACATGTACTTATTAATAACGAACGGAGACAAAACGTGTACTTAACGAACGGAGACAAAAACATGTACTTAACGAATGGAGACAAAACATGTACTTAACGAACGGAGACAAAACATGTACTTAACGAACGGAGACAAAAACATGTACTTAACGAATGGAGACAAAACATGTACTTAACGAACGGAGACAAAAACATGTACTTAACGAACGGAGACAAAAACATGTACATTGGAGGTGGACAAATAAATAAAATTCTGAAAACATGTCGACATTAGCAATAAAGCATTATCAGATATGAAAATTTACATTTAGTAGTAAACACTTTTGATAGATTGTATATCCATTTATGACTGGTGTTATCTAACGACTTATCTATTAGTATTAAATGTTCAATTTGAATAAAGATAGTTCATTGTAATTTGTACTTGCAAACAAACATTTCGTGAAATGCGTCACAAGTTCAGTTTTAATGAACAACTTTTGATGATTTGCTTGAAAAAGGAAGTTTTATTCGAAAAATTAATAACACGAAACATTGAATGATGTTCCTAACCATCAATTGTATAGTAACATATGTCTATAGTAACATATGTCTATAGTAACATATGTACACACAAAGGGGAGACCCACTATTGGCTTGAACATATGTCTATAGTAACATATGTACATACAAAGGGGAGCCAACTATTGGCTTGAAGATATGTCTTTAGTAACATATGAACACACAAAGGGGCGCCCCACTGTTGGCTTGAACGTATGTCTATAGTAACATATGAACACACAAAGGGTAGCCCCACTATTGGCTTGAACATATGTCTATAGTAACATATGAACACACAAAGGGGAGCCCCAATATTGGCTTGAACATATGTCTATAGTAACATATGAACACACAAAGGGGAGCCCCACTATTGGCTTGAACAT